AAAATTTTTTTTCAGTTTCAGTGTTATTACATTCAATCATAGTTTAACACAACCTCTGAACCTCTTTCTTTAACTTTTACATTAAAAATCATACTCTAATGAAATTATCATCAACATCACCATCAACAATTTTTTATTTAAAAAAAAAATGCCAATTATCAAGCAAAGTACACTGTATCTTCCCACATGATTTTTATTGTGAAATTCGAAGTTTTAATTGCATGATTGCGTTTTTCATTTAAAGTTGAGTGTTGTTGCAATCTTTTTAATTGATATTGCAATATTGGTTTCAATCATCAACATCTGTTTTTTTTTTGTATTTTTCTTTATTATTAATTTTGCTTCTTCTTCTTTCTTGAAAGATTTTGATATTGATTTAAAATTATGACAGAATGTCAGAACCAGCTGTTTTTATTATTGATTTAATATAAAAAATGATATACTGTCTGTTATTAAAAGTATTTGTTTGAATTGTCTGAAGAGATTGCAAAATCTTTCAATATATTTTTATTTTGTGAATAATGAGTGTACAAATTGTTACATTTATCATATATTCAATAGAAGTTGTGCTGCTATAAGTTTCTTTAAATTGATGTTGTTGTGAATACTAATGAATTATAGATATCTAAGTGCTTTCAAGAAATTAATCAATTTTTGATTAATGAATCTCATAAAATACTGCTTTTCAATGAAGTTCTGAATGAGAGATTTGTCATATATCAAATTGTTATTGTGAGATTTATATTTAATATGCAGATTTACAAGAATATAAATGAGATTTTAGAATTCTATATAAACTCTGACAATCTGTTGTCACAGCAGAATGTGATATTCAATTATAACAACATTTCAGAAAATGTATTTTCACATTCTGCTATCACATCAGTACCATTCTCACTAAGTAAAAATCTTGATGTGTTATTTGAATTATTCAATAACATTGATGAAAATGAGAAAGTGAATGATTCTATTGAGATGTTAAAAAGAAACACAGCAGTATATTACTATTGTTGTATTCAACATTTAATAACATTCTCTCATCATCATTGCAAGTCTGCTAAAAGTTGACATAAAAAATGCAAGCACTGCTCAGTGATGAAATATATTTATATTTCAGTAAATCATCATTCTATATTTGTAAAAGTATAGAATTAACTTGTATCAAATGTCAGCAGATGTTATTAAATTGACTCAGATAGTCATTAATATAGCTGAGAATTTAATTGTTACTAATACAGATATTTTGAATGTTAATGTTTTACAGAGCACTGTGTCAGCTGCAATTAAATTCTTTACAATGAAGATTTGTGAGATTTAATGCAATGGTTTTTTTAAGATCTCAGCTAAAACAGTAGTTGATAAGGTTCTGATAATTACATCATTAATTGCAGCTTTCAAATTATTATTGAAACATTGTGCTTTATTAACTGAGAAAATTTGAGATAATAAACAGATGTGCTTTGATGACAATTTTTTAAATAACATTGATTAAAATGAGAAGAATCTGTTTTTTAATCTTTTAATGAAATAAATATATTCAGCAGTCACTGTTGCTTTCTTTATTTTTATTTATTAATTGATTCTTAATAAATTTTATTAAATTATTTTAAGTATTTCTAATTGTTTATTAAATTTTCCTCAGATTCTCAAGAGTTATCTGCATCTGTACAATCTTTTCATTTGACAAAATATTGTGTATGACCACAGTATTGACATTTATTTAATATAGCTTCAACTTTTCATTTCTCTTCTATATCTATGATTATTGATTCTGCTTGCAGAATTTGTTTATTATGTGTGTGATACAGTTTGAGAAGAGAAATATGAAATATAGAATGAATTTCTTTATATTGCAGTATAAGCTTCAATTTGTATATTTGCATACTGTGTATATTAATTATTTGAAAGAGACTCAAAAATCGATGATTTAATTTGAATGAGAGTTGTAAAATGAATATATTTTTTACACACAGCATTACTCAGTTCTTTATTTTAAATTTTTTTGATATATGACATTGATCATAATATTTTTTTTCAATTGCTTTAACAGCTTTTAGACATTTTTGAATTTTATTTTTCATTTACTTCATTCATTTCATTTGTTCTACTGTCAATTTTGATGTGTCAGTGTTTGAAGATTCCACATCTATACAGAGTTCAATCAATCAGCCGATCATCATTTCAAATAATATCATCTTAATCACTGTGTAGAAGATGTTGTTATATGCTCATTATATTAAAAAAATTCATTTTATTCAATTATTTTGCTGATAATTGCAATATATATGAGGATAATGTTCAATCATCTGATTCAATCATTCCATTTGACTGTCAATCTGCAGATAGAAAGCTGTTGATAATTTTCATCAAATATGAAGTAAATAATATAATGTTGATTAGAATTTATTATTTAGCAATAAATCTCAATCATTAATGATGTTTGCAAATAAATCAAAGTTCTTCACAAGCTTTTATACAATAATGTCTGCAAGTTCTTCCACATCTAATTTTGAAGATGTGGGCACAATTATGACTTATTTGATGAATAAATCAATAAATATAATAATAGCATTATAAGTTTGACTTCTCTTCTTATTATTTGATAAATTTTCAATGAAGTCTATGTTAATTATATACTATTTCTTATTTAACACTGAATGTGATTGTGTAATAGGAGCAACGGAGATATCTATATTAGGAAATAGATACGTGGCGATAGATACGTGGCGATAGATACGTGGCGATGGCAATATTATCTATATAATGCTCGCTGATATCCGTGGATTTTAGGAGATCAGCGATTAGCTTTGAACAATAGAGATTGCTACCTTCTTAATATCCTTTGTGCGTACTTCACACTACTCTTGTAATTACTCTTGTAGCCCATCTCTTACAGATTGTAGCAATCTATACAGTTTATACTGTGATATTTTGATCACTTCAATGATTTTGTCACATTTAAAATGACTATCTTAAGAATCATTGTGATTTATTTTTATTATTTCATATTTTACAGTTTTATTTTACAGTATGTAGACTTTATTATCTTTTCTAAGCAGATCATCTTTATTCACTGCTCAGATTGAATAATTATTTACATTAATATTATTCATTTTTAATTTTTTATAAAGTTCAGATACATCAATATTTCTATTCTGAATTTATAATAAAAGTTTAATGATAGATTCAGCTATCTCTTTACAATAAATTGTTTCAGATTCAAATATCTTAACAATTAAAATCTGTGGTATCAGAGTTTCTAAATCTACTCTATAACACTGACAATTTCATTCTCATTCACAGATGTGTTTTTTATTTCATAGTAAACTGATTTAACTTTATATTTTCTTTTATGTTTAATGATTTAAAGATTTTTTTACACAGCTTCTCTTGCAGAGTAGAGAGCTTTGTTAAGAGAGTTATATATTTTATAAAATTTAAATAATGATTTGATACATCTGCGGAATTATTTTTTTCAAAATGATGCTCAATTTCAAAATTGAACACTGAGAATATTTTCATTCAGTGAATCTGACACTCATTTAGCTACTTTATTATCATGAAGTATTGGAGATTGACATTATCAGATAGAACAACTAATGAATATCTGTTATTATATATATAATAACATCATTGTATGAAAGTTTTTACAATCAATAATATTTTTAAATCATACATTTAATAATGTCTTTCTGCTTCTGTGAATTTTTTAGACCAAAATGTGATCAGATGTCAGTGATCATCATTCATTAATTGTGATATTATTGCAGTGATTGCAATGTCAGATCCATTCATTTCTATATGAAGTTTTCATTGTGAATCAAAATGAATTAACAACAGCATTTTTATAAAGCATTCTTTTAATTGCAGAATTGCATGCTTGTAATTTTCATTTAATTGAATAAATGTATTGTTATTTCTCTTTTTCATTTTGTAACCTTTTCACAATTCAGTCAGAGATGCTGTTATTATTGAGAATTTGTATATAAATTGTTCATCGACTTCCCACCCATCCCCACTCTCCCATTTATCATAGGGATGGACAGGATGGCAGAACCTATAAGCCTCGCTTCCGGACTACTGACTTTGACTGCCTTTGCCTTTAAGTCTAGCATCACGCTTTATGAGACCATCAAGAGTTTTCAGTCTCATCCTAAAACTGTACGCGACCTTCTTGAGGAGCTTGAGGAATTGGGTGAGGTTCTAAGCCCACTCACGGACACGGTCAATGCCAATGTAGACCTCTCTGCTCTTAAACTTCCCTTACTACGCTGCGGAAATGCCTGCAAAGAATTTAAAGAGGAAATTATGAAATGTTCATCGCGGTCCGATTGTCGTCGGACGAGCTTTCGAGACTGGGCCAAGTTAAGGTACATAGGTGACGACATCAACTGTTTCACACAAGCACTGGCTGGATACAAGTTGACCATCAACATAGCCCTCACTGATGCAAATCTGTAAGTCTCTAGTATCTTGTGCATAGGCACACGGCCGGTTGACTAATAACCGGGTCAGTCGCAGATCCGCTCTCAATGCTGAAATCCTTGAAAGATATAAAGACCTCGTAAAGAACGCGAAGGCTGATCTCGAGGCTTGGTGGCATAAGAGAGTTGGAATGATTTGCGCTCGCGCTCTAGTGACATCAGTCCCGCTCGCCTTGAAAGCCTCTAAAAGCATACAACCACGTGAAACTGATGCCCCTCTCTCTGGTGATCATGCGCCTTCACTTCTGTCGAGAAATATTCTGGAAATACTTGACTGTACACGGATTTCTATTTTGCACTTGTGTAAATGGTCCTTGAGGGTTTGTTGAGTAGTTACATGTTTGACGTGAAGAGATATATTTGCCCGATTCATCACACTCAAGATTTGATTTTGGCGATTGCATCATCATATGCCTTGATAACAGGATTATATAAACGCTTCGGATCTTGCGGGGTGCCAACGATAATTCCTCTGTCCCCGTACGGGAAAAGAATGTCTCGTATAGCTCTGCAAAGCGGTTTAGCAAACACAAATGCTGGAGGAAACTCAGTCAAAATATCCTCAAGCCCATCTGCACCCATATCGGTTCGCTTGATTCTTGCGATTTTTTTATAAGTTCCATTATACCACTCCTTCAGCATACTGTCTTTTGGTGGAGAAAAATCATTCGTTAAGATGTGCTCAAATTCACCTTGATTGAGGTTTTTCTCATGACTTTCCGTGCACCATTTGTTTAGCATACTATCGTCTGACCAGGCCCGTAACTGATATAACTTCTGCAATTGCATTAATTTTTCCCAACCGTGGCGGGCGCACTGCCAGATAAGCACGTAGAAAAAAGACTCAAGATCATGCCGATAGGTATGGTCGATATTCAGCAGCACCTCGATTGCCATGAACTCCATTGTGCCAGTCTGGTGCCGCGCGCCGCTTCGCCCACTTCCAACTTCTTTGGCAAGATCCAGATCAATCAGCATTCCAGAGTAGCCATCCGCCTTGTCTGGATCGGTGATTATTATGTTGTTCTCCGAAATATCCCGATGAAGAATGTTTCCATCCAGGTAAAGAGATCGATGCGCCTTTATTGCATCGCGAAGTGCCTTGAGCAGCTCCAAGGGTGATTCGTACTTGTAGATCGGCCGGCCAGCTGGCGATATCACTAGACAGCGGAGGACACGGTTGTCATACAGTTCCTCGCCATTTCTGTCGAAGAGGCTCGGTTTGTGCGCTGACTGAATGGAGAAAGCTAGTTCGTTCTCCTCCTGGGCGTCCCTTGATGGTTGATTGATGGAACGCGATCGTTTGGACACCTGCATCCCCTTATCCGGGGATCTGCGTTTCCTGGAAGATGACTTTCGGCGGATATCTAAGCGGCGCGGCTCGATGAGCGGCTGAGATTGATGAAATGAGGAGGCTGCGCTGGGGGGTGCGCTTTTGAAGTGGTGGCGCTTGTCGAACGTCAGACCGCAGCGCATGTCGGCGATGCTGGTGATGGTACCGTGACCGATGATCCTTGCGACTCCTTGGACATTCTTTTGACATGCTAGCTTGAGGAGTTCCACCTCCGGCCGCCGCTTGTCCGACACCCACGAGAATTTAGCTACGCCTTGTCCATCGTTTGTGAGAAAACACGTGGTCCCGCGACACACGATGGCACGCTGAAAGGAAAGTATTTCACCTAGCCGTAGCACTCTTTCGTCTAACGTCCCACGCCCTTTGACGGTTATTGATTTGTTGCCGTCTTCATCCCTAGCAATAAAACTATCCAGTCCCAGGTCCTCATCACTCATCATGGTGTACCCGACAAGCACCTGAAAGAACCGTCTCGAGTCCTCATAGACGTCGATGACGCCGGAGCTATAGGGACCCGAACGGTCGAACACCCACGCCTCCATCTTGGTCCCGCAGACGGCGAACGCGTGGACGAACCGCCGGGTGGGCTGGGCGGCAAAGACCTCGCGCACGTAGCGGCTCATCTGAAGCAGAGTGTCTTTGGTCTTGATCTCCTCCTTGGATTTTTTGAGCTCGCCAACTACCAGAATGTCTCTCCAGTCGTGTTTGTTTCGCGAGGGGCTCCCACCCCTAGCTCGCAAAAGAAGGTCGACTTGCCGTTCCACCTTCGAACCAGTAAGATCCGCTTTGCTGGCCGTGGTGTAGTAGGTGCCGCGTGATTCTGAGAGAAGGTCTTCTTGAAGACGAAACCACCAGGCGAGGACATTGTCCTGTGTAGGAGGATCAGGAAACTGGGCCAAATTACCGTCGCTGCCCGGGGCCAATACGCGTCGACAGATGGCATCTGCTTTGCCGCTCCAGTCCTTCTCCTCAAAGTATTTGTTGAAGAAGCCCTTGACGTCTCGAAAGGTGCAGCCACATATCTCCTCGAAGATTCTCGGATTCACCAACTCATGCGTCTGCTCGGAACCTTTCTGCGATGACGAGGTGGATTTGACTGGCGTGCCGTCAAAGGAGGGGGGGACGCTCGCCGGAGGAGTTGTTCGTCGAGAGATGGTGTCAATGAGGGTAAATACAGCTTTCCAAACATCGAAGTTCCAGGTTTCGACGTTCTGGGATTCAGTCGGAGGCCTTTGAATAACCAGATTCACTAGCGGCCGGTAGTCGTCGTACTTGAAGTTTTCTTGTGCCTTTCGGAGACGCTCGACTAAGTGTGCTAGATCAGACACCATATCCCCGTTACTCACTCGCGAGCGAAGGCTGTAAGCTGCATCCTCTCCCTGTAAGGCAGAGAGGAGTTTTGAAATCGCATTTCGATAGAGTTGGTCAAGGCTCTCATCAGCGCCATCATAAATTAGACGCGACTCATATATTCTTTCGGCTTCCTGAAGCGCGCCTCGTAAACGATCAACTAAGTTGGTTAGAGGATGGTTCTTGATAATGTTGCGATCTTCTTGTGAAAGTCCCGCCATTTTGACGGGATAAAAGACCGTTGAGTTGGTGTGAGATTAACTAGGAGTTGTAAGGGGAGAAAAATTAGGTTGGTATGCAAATATTATGTGAGAAGCAAACAGGGGAACAAAAATGCAGAATTGTTAGGAAGTTAAGATGTATGATACCTGCGAGAGAAGATAGCTCGCTGGGAACAGATGCTGATATATATAATCAAATGGAGGATTATGGTAGCCGGATAGAACCGCCGAGCAAGGAACCAGGTGGAGATTAATCCTATTTGTTCGTGACGGAATAGTAATAAGCGCGACCAAAACAGGGGGATTGATAAGAGTATTTTGAGGAAGGCCGGCTATTCCCATTTAGGATTAAAACTGGCGAACCAACCCGTCGTGTGGGAGATATGGTAAGAGCGTGCTGGCTGTCAGAAAAGACGCATCAGCTATTAGTAATCACTGTATTAGGCCTCCCTCTTTTTTTCGTACTGTCTAAAACAAGGCTAGTATTCGAGCGACTCCTGAAATGAAGAATATTAATACTGTTGTCTACTCCTAGTTCTAATGGTCAGTAATGTGCGATCAGACACACAATACTCTGATTCGCACGGACGACCCTGCATAAGCGGCTAATCACATTAATGCAGCCACGAACACTGCGGTTAGGGCGGCATCCAAAGTGAGGTCGAAGGTGAAACGGAGTAGTGGTTGTAGTTGACGTGCGCCCGTTGAAGGCTCGTAAACAGATTTGTGAGATCGGAAGCAACATTTCCATCGCTTATTCGCGAGCGTATATTGAGCGCTGCTTCCTCTCCCTGTAAAGCAGAGAGGAGTTTTGAAATCGCATTTCGACAGAGACTAACAAATACAAAAGGCAACCATAACAAGGCGAATTTTAACGTCCAAACAGGTTTGGTCCCCAACCAATACGTACGGGTGGGGGATGGTTTCGATCTTTAGCCAGTACTAGAACAGAAGAATGTGTCTTCGTTAAGCACAGACCTATTCAATCTGAGGCCATTCTTTAGGGATATATTTCCTATTCTTAGAACACCATGGCCTGATCATGCCAGGTGCTGTTCTTAGGTTATCCAACCATGTACATCACGAACTACTCCCTTGTGGTGCTCATTGGAAATAGATCATATGGTTACTGATTTACATGATTTCCAGTTGGAAACGATACCGGCGATTTTTGTAATTAGTGGCTATGTAAATAATCGGCGATATTGTCAGTACGGTAATTACCTCTTTCTGCCCATTCAAACAAAGCTCTATCTCAATTACACCATCTCACATAACATTATTAATGTGGAAAAAAAAAATAAAAAAAAAAAAAAATAAAAAAAAACTCAATCATGGGACCCTTTCAACCCACCTTGAGGTTTAACCGTCCACATAAAGAGTAGGAAACAGTAAAGGACACTGATGCACTTGCTGGGTACGTTCAAGAGGCACTCTCGGATCAATAGTTTTTCCGAGACTCTAGTTTTGACCCCGCTTAGAGATAACGAAACAGGTGAAAAAATCTTGTACTTTGTAATAAGATACCAGCGTTGAATTTCACATCACTTTAAGTCGATTGCGTTACAGCATTCCATGATGTAGGGGATATATATAGACACTGTTGTCTACGCGGGTTCTAATGTTGGAACAGATATACATTCCCCTGTCATATTCGACTGGCATATCGCCCAAGCTGTGCAGAATGCAGCCACTTGAAGACACTGCAGCCAAAGCGGCTTCAAAAGTGAGATCAAAGGTGAAACGAAGTTCGCATCCCACCTATCCTTGGCTCTTTCCTCCCGACTGCGAGAAAGATATTGAGCCAGTAATTACACAGTGGCTAAAGGTTTGAGAGCAACCATATCATCAATCCTGAAATGTGCTAACCATGAATCAGGATGAAGCAAACCTCGAATATATATCTAGGAAAACCTCGAAGCCATTCAAGAGCGATCCCTCCAAGAATGTTGTCGAAGCGTATGCAATTGTTTGGACTGATAAGAGTGGTATACTGGAAAGGCCGTTCCCTGGCAAGCATCTAGTCATTATGGGTTTAGAATATGTGGATGAGAACAACGGTCTCCCTAGGTTCCAAGATAAACAAAAATTAGACCATGGGGAGTTTATTCTTGTGTCAGGAGACGATAACATGATCCTGAGTGATAAAGGAGGGGGAATATCACTTCTTATTGTGTTGGACATGGGAGGAGGCGCATAATTAATTGTTTAGACGACTATATGTAGCAAAATTCATTATGGTCACTGCATCTTAGCATGTATTCATATCATTCCAACATACGGGTTACGTTCCATCGTTTCTGAATGGTTTTCTTCAATTTTCTTGATAGAGTGCTGTTGTTCCGCCCGCGGATGCATTAGAAATGCCATACTGCGGTATTTGCATGTCGGTGATGAGAGCAAGTTCTTGTCGATGGCTGTTCATCGGATGAGGTAGAGAAAGTATACCCGCGGAGGCATCAGGAACGCCGTACTGTGGTAAGTCTGCGATAAGAGCAGAGTCTGCCAACGAGTATCCACCTGCAGAGGCATCAGGAATGCCGTATTGCGGTAGTTGCATGCCAGCTGTCATGAAACACTCCCTTGTCTGTAGGGTATCCGCCCAGGCGTCTCCCATTCCATATTGTGGAGGACATGACCGACTGTCACTCTTCTCTTGCCTAGTTTCAGGTAAAGTGTTCCACATTTCCGTTTCGCCCGGGCCTCTTGAAGCTTGGGACAAGGGTGTAGTATTCAGGGCGTGGTCGAATGTTTCGTCTGTGGTCGGGATGTTGTGTCGCGCCGTACCTTCTGCGTGTTGTATCATATGGAGAGACCGGCCAGGAAAACACTGTCCAGAAAGCTGAGGATGCTCCATCTCGTCAATATTAATTGGATCGAAAGCGTCGGTTGCTGAGGATGTAATGAAGTTGTTTTGTACGGAATCTGGGTCTGACTGTGGCACAAGCAGCTGAGGGCGGGATCCATCCGCATTCGGTGTTGGAAGGTGCGCAGAATGTTGAGGGCGAGATTCTTCGTGCTGTTTCATAGCCTGGGCTATCTCTTCCTCCAAGCGAGGCCGTATATAACCAATAACATCCACCGAGATCGGGAAGTCACTGAGTTCCTCCACAAATC